GGAACTTAACGGAACCACAGATAGGTAAAATCATTGTTTCACGAAAACCGAATTTAAGCGTTTTAAATGTTTGATGGAGGTGGGAAAAGTAAAAAGAAAAATTATGTTTCTATTAATATCTAATAATTATTTTATCTTCTTCTTTTAATGTAACGTCAAACAACGGAAAGCAACCAAGCAAATGCTTGGAAGTGAGAAGAGTAAAAAGTTCAGATTCTTGATTTTTGGAGGGTTCCTAGTGATGCGGTATGATTTTACTTTTAACTACGAAAGACGCATTCTGATTTTCAAACTAGTTAGTTTAAAGAAAATTGAATTACCGAGCAAACTTTTGACAAATCAGCCAAATTAAGTGAACGTGTGATCTTTATATTGAACTACATTCTGTAGGTAGATAATGCATGTTGCGAAATTTGTATACATGTAAATAATTTCAGAGAAATTATATGTAAATTCCAATGCATCTTGTGTAATGTAACACGAAAGGCATCAGAAAGCGTAGCATCGCCGGAAAAATAGTATTACAGGGGTAAATCCATTTGAAGTAAATGCCTAGCGCTAAGCTAGCAATATTTTTGGTGGCTAATTATTATCAGCAAATTAGGCGAGAAATTGCCAAAAGTCGTCGAGCTTGGTGACCATGTGGCGGCATTTTGGTCCGATGTGTAACTGTAACTCATACATACCTGGAAATCAAACATGATTCAAACTAATTCAATATTCCAAGCTTAATTACTAGCAATAAGGGAAGCCATAGTATATGCAAAGCAACTTTCAATAGCCAGCATCATAATATCTGACAGTGCCTCAAGCATACAAGCGATAACAGCTAAAAGTAAATCACCTCTAGTCCAAGGCATACAGTTCCTACTTGCTAATTTTCATAAAGAGTACATACCAAAACTCCACTGGACAAGAGCTCAAAAAGGAACGATTGAAAACGAATTAGCAGATACATTAGCAAGAAAGGCAGCAAACAATACTACTATTCCAGTATCTTTTCCAATTTCAAATCCTATTTCAGTATTAAAATCAAGACTGAAAGAAGATTTAATAACACAATGGAATGCATCTTGGTCAAGAGACAATGCAGGCAGACGAAATACTTATCTTACCAAAACCATCAAGGAATTTAATAACTATAAATAATGCAATAACTTATTTCCTTACCTCGCATGGACCTTTTATTTCATATCTTCGTCGTTTTGGCTTCCATCATATTGACAACTGCATCTTGTGGCTCAATAGGAAAAATAGATCATTATATGTTCGAATGCTCAATTAACCAAAGATTTCCACTTTCGCCCCTTCACAGCACAAATCTGGTTGAAACAACTTCTTAAAAGTAATTTCCTTCGTAATAAACTGCAATACTTAATCAAATATCTAATACAAAATTGTGAACATTTAAAAGGAACATAAAGTAAATCCAAAATTCAAGATATTTCATGTTTCAATATATTTCATATTTCAATATATCTCATATTTCAAGATATTTCATATCATAAGCTGTTACAGAACTTTCATATTAGAATTAATTAATTTTTATGTATATTTATCAAAATATATCTTATAACTTTATTTAATGTATATACTAATGTATAATGATTTAATGTATATATCCAAATTTCATATCCAAATTTCATAGTTATGAAATTTAAATAAACATGGTCCCACTGAGTGAGCAAAAAAGCTGAAAGTCTTCTTGGCGGCACAGCTGCTAACCCAGTGGTCTCCTTGTAACTTTAACTGTATACGGCTCTGTGTAACTGTAACTGTCTATATCTTCCAGCAATTTCGAGAAATCGAAGGAACGAAAAATTTCTCGGCAGATCGAGGAAAACTATATAAGACTGTAGAGAGTATCAGTTTTGAGTTCAGAGATCTCCGTGCAAGCTTCGCTTTTAGATGCGCTTTGCATTGCTTTGTGTTCAATGCTTTCAGTAGTTTTAAGTGGTAATTACCGATTGGGCTTTTTCTTGCTGAGAAGAGCTGTACGGGTACTTTTATGTGAAAAGTTTCAGAACTGTAAGACGTTTTTGAAAAAAATAAATTTCATCAAGCTGTCTTCGGTTTCTATGTGCATTCAGTCCGTTACGAACCCGTACGCACATAAGAGTATGTAAGGTCTTTTCCGTTTTAAATTGCAATAAAGAGAGGAGAAGTTGCCTTACATTTCAACAGATGGGTATCAAATTCCGCTTTATTGTATCGGTTATCTAGCACATTGCCAACAGATGGTTTTGATAAGATACAATGGGACATGCCGTCCAGACGGTATAGTGGTTAGGGAAGCCTGACTGCGATACCAAAGGGCCCGGGTTGGAATCCCGAAGAAGAAATAAAAATAATAATGAATAAAAAATTGTTTGTCCCTTCATAGGAGGTAACGGCTATTAGGTGCCTCCATAATAAAATGGCTATCACTTCTGGCCTTAGTAGTGGCCAATGCCGTTATAGGCAAAAGCCCGCCATTTGTATTAAAAAAAAACACTAATAAAAAAAACACTTATAGTTAAAGCTTACCCTCAAATTGGTCAGATTATCTTTAGATACATAATTGGCTTAGTTTCAGCATTTGAGGACTGTTTAATCTCTGTTATACGAACGTGGCATATGATGAATATTTCTCTTATACTAAAACTTTCTAAATGAACTTATGATCCATGATTGTGTTAGGATAACCATATATATATAAATTGCTCATGTATTATCTGTCTGTTCTAAATTTGCAAATATGATTTGTAATACAACACTTATAATTTTTCAATTAATAGAAATGTAATCGTATTATGTTAAATATTTTGAGCGTAAATTTAAGCGTTAACTATGAGAGTATATTAAATATATGCATAATTTTCCATTCATACTAAAATCTGAGTTTTTTTTTTTTTTTTTTTTGTTAAAGGGCAGATTTGAATTGCAGAAACACAGAATTATGTTCTCTAAATGGATCTGTTTTGAGGATTGGTTTACAATCAATGTTTTAATGATTTTATTTATGATCAAATCACACATTTTAAACAAAACATGCCTTTATTTATGCAAATTTAGTACACATATTCTATAATATGAGGTACTCTAAAGCGTATTTAATATGTCGACGCTTGTGTAAAATGCCTGCAATACTAGCTTGTATGGAGCTAGTAGGAAATGCAAGTAGCTGTTGTTATTTCGTTTTGGACAGTGAACAAGAACCTAAATTATAAACGAAATAATTAAATATTTAAGCACTTGTGAAATTCTACATTTTTAAAAATCTCTCATAATATATTCTTGAATGTCCAACCAGATTTTAACAATGGCTGTTTTTATTTTTATTATGTTTTTCTCCTAGAACAGAGGAGAAATAAAATGAAATAAATGACTCTCCTCCACTACATTTAAAAATAATTTTATGCTATCCCATGTGATGATCAGGTGACATTTGAGGAATTCAAAGTGGATAATATACATTCTTAGCAATTAAAAATATATTTTTAGCTGTTTTAAAAAATCACCATGTTAAAACTGACTATATTTACAACAATTTAATTGTCGTAAATTTCAGAAGCAAAGGTTATTTTAAGTGTTATGACATTCGAAATTAAAATAAGGCTATGATGTTTTATATTCTGTATAGCTGATCTGTTGCTAAATAACTTTCACTAAATTCAGATAACAATTTTTTAAAATTTATATTTATTATGTAACTATTGTGTGTTGCTTCGTAAGCTATTTTTTTATCTATACACTCATTCTTCCATTCTTTTTTGATTTCTTGAATGTATAGTGCTTTCGATATTTGAATAAAGGTTAATGTTTGAGATTTAGATAGTAATTCAGTTTAAAGCTCGGTTCGAAGTATCGTTAATGATATTAATGATTTTGGATGAAAGAAAGGGGCATTTTTTTGTGCATTGAAATCCCTTGAGCTAAATTCTAGATATTTTCAATCCCTTTACTTCTGACTATTTTTAGACTGTGAAATTTCAAATGAAACAAAATATAAACATTATCAAATAAAGTTTTTTAATTTATTCAATAGGAACATATTTTCGAGAGCTTAATGAATTAATTGTACTGATAAATTTCAAAAGTTAATTCGAAATATTAAGTTAATTCGAATATATAAATAAATATATAAGTTACTGAAGTTGTTTAAATTTGTTAAAAGGTAAACATTTTATCCATTTTTAACGAACTCGAATTATCCATTTATAACGAAGTAATGGTTCTATTGATTACAATGTACTGTTTTTCAATATTCCGTTAAATTAGTATTGCATTTTTAAAGAGGTTTTTAAAACTTGAGTTAAAGATAGAAGGAAAAGATTTTTCGTCTATTTAAACATACTTTTGTTTCACATTTAAATTTCTTACAGAATGTCATCTATTGTTTCCTCTGCTAAAGAAATAATTTTCTTAGCTTCAAAATTATTGTCTTTTAGTTAATAATCGTATTTGGTCATTTAGTTTGTTTGTCAAATTATTTTATGGTAAATAACACTATATGCAGAAACAGAAGGGCAAAACATAATGCAGAAAATGGTATTTAGAAATTACATATGCATGTTTTGAATATTTAAATTCTCTTTATATATAATTGCAAGTATTTAAGTATTGACAAAAATAATACTCTTATGCAAGACATTTTTGTCATGTGTAACCAATAATATTTTAATATTTATTCTAAAATTTGTATCTTTGATGCATTGTTTCTTTAAAATAGTAAAAATAAGCACTGTAATTAAGCTCTAGTCTCAGCTAGAATTATCGCACTAATTTAGCAATAAGAATAAAAAATCATGCTATATAATATATATATTCATAATTATATAGATTTTATTTTTTGTATAATGCAGAATGTTTTCGGAGTATGAAATCCTTCATTTGATTTCATTCTTAGAAAAACATCCTTCATTATTTCATAAAACGGTTGCTAAAATCGATGCCACTTCCAATGGAATATTTTGAAACATAGAAATTCGGTCACAAAAATTATCTTTTCATTTTAAAGATAGTTGATGACTTTTATATTTATTCATATAATTCTTCTTAACATATTTACAATCTGTATAATGTTTAGGTAAAACAGAGGACTTCAGTTACGAACTGTGTTCGTATTCCAAATAATTCTAAGATATTAAGGTTTATGTTGTTACGTCTATGAACTTAAAGCTGATAGGATGTGTTTGATAGGAAAGCCTTTTTTTTTTCTACGTGTCCATTTCTAGTTCAATTACACTGTATTGCTGTAATTACGAACTTTACATCCACTATGACCCAACGTGAGACATGAGGGGACTGTGTAAATTCTCCATTGGTATTTGTGCCATGTTGCTAACAAGAGATTTCTCTGGTGTATCATAATGTCTTTGGCGGTACTTCCTGGCGGCGACAGTCACGACGCATACGACGACCATCATGCTTGCTACAATGCCTAAAACTACAGCCACTGCTACATTGCTGGTATGGTGAATCCCTTGCATCAAGAAGCTTTCATCTCGGGTCCGCACCCACATGCAAGAAAACTGGACGTACTGTTTGTCTTCTTTACTCTTGACGCCAATGCAGAACTTGTAAGTGCTCTGCGGTTGTAAGTTGTTTATGGTATAAGAACGGAAAAACTGGCTCACTGTGACGGACTGATACTCCTTTTTGGGACTCCCACCATTTTCTTTGCGGTATATGATTTCGTACTCGGGAAAAGCGTTTCTAGCTGTTCCATTCCATACTACGGTTACGAACGTGGATGCCACTCCCAGTGGAAAAATATTAATGTCAATATTCTCTACAGTCAGTTGAGTCACTCCCATAGCTTCGCCCAAAGCATTTTCCGCTATGCAAATATAAGTACCCGAGTCTTTGGGCTTGAGATGGTATATTCCGAGGCTACCAGGACTCTTAAGGTGAATGTGTATGTCATTGGACGTTTGATTGAGGACAGCGCCATTGGGCAGGATCCAGTGGACGTTAGGAACGGGTATTCCGTGAGCCCTGCATTGGAATATGTGTTTGTCACCTATTTTTTTATCCACGGTATTATTGATAGAACCTACTAATACTGGAGGGCAGTTATCTGGAATCTGTGATTTGATTAAACTCTTAACTTGGACTTGGTGAAGTTCCGATGGTCGATCACAAACCATAGTTTCAGCATTGAGCATTTTAATCTGACTGGTATTATTAGTCACAACTTCGTGTATCCATTTGACGTTGCAATCACAAAGGAGAGGGTTCTCATACAAACTAATCTGTAAAGGTTTTCTGAATGTTTTAAGTACATCTTGACTGATAGCTGATAAGTTATTGCCATGCAAAGAAAGTATTCTCAAATTTGGCACATTTATGAAAGCTTGGGAATCTACGAATTGAAGTTTTGCATTGTGATGCAAATGCAATGTCCTAAGATAAGGTAAATTCCAGAAAGCTCCTCGATCAATTATTGTCAGATCAGCGATGTTCTCGATGAAAGCTTCTTCCAGCCTCAAACGCACAAAATCACCGGTGTGTAGCTGCGGGAAAAAATTCCCCCCGAGTTTTAATATTTTAATGCTTTTTGTAGCTTGTAAGGATATCGATGGCACTTTCATAAGTTGGTTATCCTCTATGAAGAGGGAAGTGAGGTTCTCTCATCAAAAGCGTGGTCACTCACCCCACGTATTTTGTTACCACTGAGAGACAGTCGCTGAAGATTCTTGAGCGCCGCAAATGATCCACTGTTAACGTACGAGATGTGATTATTTTCCAAGTGTAATTCTTCCAACTTAGGCAGTTCTTTAAACCACTCGGGAAAAATTGCATTTAGTTGATTGTGTGCCAGATATAGGCGTTGCAATTCACTTAGACCATCAAACACATGTTCTTCAATAAATTTGATTTGTACGTGCGTCATGATGAGAAACTGAAGACGGTGTATGCCTCTAAATACGCCATTGAATACTGTTCTGAAATCATTGTACGATAAATTAAGCACACGCAAATCCGTGAAGTTGTGAAATATCAGACCCCTGCCCAACTGTTTAATCTGGTTATGGGATAAATCGAGCCACAAAAGGTTTTGCAAAGGTGGAAGCTGACCGTACAAGTCGGTAAGATTATTGCGCTGCAAAACTAAAGCTTGAGTATCTATAGATATTCCTACGGGTACTGTCACTAATTGTTGTCTAGAGCAGTTTGTTGTTCTTAAGGTAAGATTACCGAGTAGAGTAAATGGCTGTGGCTGGCAAATGCAAGGTGATGGACAAAGGGTCTTTGGAGGTCGAAGGGTCGTTGTTGTGTCGGTCGAGAAGGACACTGCTGGGGTAAGAAGCGGTGGCAGCAGGAGGAGCAGGTGCAGCACACGTGGTTCCGTCATGTCGGACCACGATGGTCCATTCTTAACTTACCCAGCATAATGCTTCATAGTATTCGTAAGTACCTTCTTGTTTGCCCTGTTAAAAAAAGAAGAAAGAAACTAAGTCGTTAAGCATACATAATATATTACTGTTGCTACAATAGACCATATCACATATTATCGCTAATTTTTAAATTAAGGTGCTAATTAACATAAAAGAATGGTGCCTATTCTTCTGGAAAATTGCAAATGCAGGAAAATTGGGAGATTACTGAACATGGGTCAGTATCTCCCATGCGGCCATAATTCTTATAAATTATATTCTGCCCTATCGACTGGTGATCTAGTGTAGTAACAGAAATCATGTGCTGAAAGGTTACTATGTAAGGATTATGTTAATTTATTTAACAGTTAATCTTTAGTTAAAAGTTACTGTCCTATCTTTTCTTAATTTCAAGTTTACAACTTCCGGCCAGAACGTATTTTTAGAATCGCGGTTGAATGCAAATGAGGAGAAGTATTTAACTCTGAATTTCTACTGATTTCGTGAGAGAGAACCAGCGATTCTGACTAACTCGCTTTCGCCTTTTTAGGCTGCTCTCTCTTAAGCTATTATTACGCTTGGCCGTACTTTATGCCCTTGATAGCTTCGCCGTTATTTAGCGTTAAGGGACCAACTCTGTTAGAATATTGATAGCTTCGGCTATATCTTTTTTAGTTAAGATTAGTTAAGTTTAATTTCTTAGTTTCTGAGCTCAAGCCCGAGTAGAGGCTTTATTGTAAAACTTCAAGAAGAAGTTCTGTGAAATTAATTTGGAATAATAGAGGGTATTTAACCCTTCCCAAATTTTTTTTTCTGTCTCATGAACTCAAGCGATTATTCGCTTACTAGTTCTTAAGATTCTTCAACTTTAACTGTAAATTAAAAGTACACAGGTTAGAATCTTACAACTAGTTTGGTAAATCTTTAATGAACAATCGATTTGATTACTTCTTATAATGGGATACCTAATGATTTTACAGAAAACTGTATAATTAGCTATGAATCTTTTTTGCTAAAAGCAGCTCCTTATGTTTATATATAGTAGATATACTATGTATATTATATATATACACACACACACGCACGCACGCAGGCACACACGCACGCACGCACGCAGGCACACACGCACGCACACACACACACGCGTACACGTATACAAAAAGAAACATAACAAGAGGTTAAAATTAAAAACAAATTTTTAAACCCTTCCTGGGCTATAGCTGCAGGTTTGAAGTGAAAGAGCTTCTGAATTGAAGCCGCAGGATTGAAGACTTTGTACTAATATGAATTCTTACTTTAATTTTTATATGTTTGGATTTTGTGTTAAACATCTTTTACACGATTGCTAATATTAATATTGTTGAGGCATAACCTTGCTTTGACTCCAATTTACTTTTAACTTTAGACTCTTTAAGTCTCTCTCTCTCTATATATATACATATATAATTTTACATTAACTAATTAAATTACTACTGTGCTATCATTTAAAGTTACACATTTCGGAATTTTATAACAAATGCATTCTCTGAATTTTAGTCAAGAAATAAGCCTGCCCTGGCCGAGTGGTTAAGATTGATGTATACTGGTAGTTCAACCTGGCTTGGGTTTGATCCCAGGCGAATTCGCTGGCTGCATCGTTAATTTCCGTAGTTTTCCTCATGTGTAAAGTGAATACGAACCAGTTTCCCTTAGAAAGTCCTCCGCAGAGGCATCGCTCCTTTTAGGCGAATAGTTACGTTTTAGCTTTGCCATATTCAGCCTAATCATACCTAACCTGGTCTAGAAATAAAATCTAATGATTACGTGACATTTTTGTCTAATACTGCGAAGTGTTTCAATATTTTAGTTAAATGTTTTTTCAATCATATTCAGTAATGCTAATTCTTTATAGTTTTAGAGATCTTTAATAAAATTAACTATCGTTTATAGCCAAAATATGTAACGCGAGATTTGAAGAATGTAAATTACTTTTTTTGTATGAAATATTATCTGTAAAACAACGAAACTTTAACAACTTTTATGAATACGCGAAATTTAGTCTTTCTTTAAGTTCTACAGAAAAAGATGTGATTTTTTTTTTTTTTAGTTAATAAAATGTGCTACATTTCTCCTTCGCTTTAAATAACAAAACTGATTGATTTTATATGTAGTTAATTATTAAAAAAAAATCTTGGTTTTCGCTTATGCTTAATTTTATTTCAAGAAATTACTGTCAGAAACGGAGCGTAATTAAATTTTAGACAGCCGAAGTTAATATTTTTGGTTTAATTGGGCAATTAATGATATAACTACTATAATTCCTTTTGAACTATCGTGGATGTAAGCCAGTTTCCGTTAGAAAGTCCTCCGCGAAGGCATTTCTTCCCTTACGCGGATAGCCCTTGCATTGCTGGGCCATAATCAAATAAAATCAAAGACAGAAACCTTTTGAACTGCCTGGACATAAACGTTTTATTTGAGTAGATCTCTAAAAATTTAATGTTTCAGGTAATAGTAAGTAAATACGATCTTGTATATACAGAAATTTTTCACCGAAAGATTTTCTTTCTCAAGGTAAATAACGATTGATAATATTTTGACATCAGTTAATGAAATTTTTACCGAATTGGCATATTTTTCTACGGGTTGTGGTTTTGGTTAGGCATACATTTACAATGCTTTTATTCTTTTTCTTTTTGCAATCTTTTATTTTTTCAATTGGATTTTTTTCTTTTTGTCAATGACTTTTATTTCTTTTCTTTCAATTACTTTTATTTCTTTTCTTTCTTTATTTCTTTTCTTTCAATTACTTTTATTTCTTTTCTTTCCTAGATATTTGTAAAATTTGATGCGAAATTTACGGAGAAATTCAAAAATTTATCTTAGGGCAATTTGTTTCAGTTTGCGCCAAGAATAATTCACTTGGCGAACTTCGTAATATATGGCAACCATTTTTCCTTTCCCTTCCATTCTGCCGGAGCGGAGAAAAAGGCATCTTTCCTATCTTTTTACATTGTGCATGAGCGGAAAAAGTCACATCGTGCCTACTTTCAAATAATTTTAGCAAAGTGTCGAAACCACATTTGATGTTTTATCGCTTTCAACAAATATGCCAAATTTTAAAACGCGCCAATATATAAATTCACGTATGTCTTCGGAAATTTTGAATAAAAAACTTATTTTTTGCAGGTATGCTTAGAAATACGTCTACTTTAAGATACTGGTAAAAATTTATAGATTATAATTCAAAATTTTTTTCGAAAAATTGATAAAAAATATTTTAAAATACAAATTTAATAAAATAAATCATAAAAAATGGGTGAATTTTGTTTGGAATGAACCTGAATTTCGAAATGTGAAAGAAAGAATCAAATAAGTTTAATAAAAAAAGAGAAATTAAATATATACCAAACTCAATTAACATTGAGGAGTTAAAATTTTGAAAGCTAATTTTTTAAAAACTACTCGTGCGATTTTTACAAAATTTGGTAGTTTGGCGTAATTTGAGTCGAAGAATTGAAATATGGAAAAAAATATTGGTTTATTAATTTCAGAAAAAGTCCGATTTTGTGTCAAAATACCTATATTAGAACAATCTTGCGATATGTAAATCTAATACATATCGTAAGTCGCGCTTTCGATACATGAAAAACGCTAGTTGAAATTCGTCAATCGCCCAGTAGAACGGGAGATATAGAACAGTCCCTTTTTTTTGGCGCAGTGTACTTATCGAAGAATAAATTACTACAATATTTGCAAATATTCATGTCTCGGTATTAAAAAGTAGACGAATAAATATTTGGTATTCATTACAAATTTTTGCAAAATTCTATGTATTCAGAAAATTCTCAGGAAAGGTGCAGCCATTGCATTCTTTAACCAAGAATTGCGATAAATTTTTTTTTTTTTTTTTTTTAAATATGATTTTTTTTGGTCCAGCTGGCCAACAGCAAACGTTTGATAAAGTTCCTGAAATATGCAATTGTGAATAAAAAATCATTCCTTTGTTAACGAACTGTGAAAAATGCCGATACGTACTGCGGAACATCGCATCTTTTTCTTAGGCTACTTTCAGTTTCAATCTGTTCGATGAAAAAACGAATTAATTACTCCGCTTATTTGAAAAATACTGCGCTTTTCTATTAAAAGTAATCTAAATCGATAATTGACTTTCGCTTGATATTTTAACTTTTCGCTCGAAGCGTTTGACATAATTAATTAAGCCGAAAATGATTTAAACTAGTAGATCGTCAGATGGTTGGTTTATAGAAGAATATTACAGATTTAAATACGACTGACTGATAGAAATTTGTTTACCCATTTCTTGTCTGGAATATTATTATTATTTTTTTTTTAGTTTTAATTCGTGTATAGTTAATAAACACTTGCCTTATAAATACTCATATTATTTTTAGTACATATATTTTACAGATAAATATATACAAATATTATGCAATATATCATAAAATATATTATAACATATTATAAAATAAATATTACAGATTTAAATACGACTGATTTATAGAAATTTGTTTACCCATTTCTTGTCTGGAATATTATTATTATTATTATTTTAGTTTAATTAGTGTATAGTTGATAAACACATGCCTTGTAAATACTCAGTTCTTTATTTAACACATGTAGGGCTTCTTCGTGAGCCCTTATGTATCCTCCTAACTTCCTCTTAAGATATTTTAGAGTAGCAGAAGTAGCATTTAAGAAAAGGAACTATGTGCTCTTGATTCAAAATATTTGCAGCGCTTCCAGCGGCAACATGAAGAAGTAAACGGCAAAGCAAGCTAGGCAAAAAAAAATTTATAAATGAGTACCGATCCTAGACCATCGCCACCCACGTGCAAATTAAAACTGTCTGCCCTTACAGATATTCCAAATACGTTCAATAATCATTTCGCCGCCCTTAAAATTGGCGCCCCCCCATGTGCTGTGTACCATCTTGGCCGCCGCTAGGATCCATCCTGAATAACGGCAAAGCGAGATAGGCAAAAAATTTCCATATACAAAGTCTTAGATTTTTTTTTTGTGTGCTTGGGTACAGTATATATTATTTTAGAATA